GAGGAGAAGGTAGAAATGACTCAGCCTGGAACTGAAAATATGGATGGAGGACCTCAGCTTAGCCTGTTAGCCTTTGCGCTAGCACCGACGCTACTATATTGCCTTATATGTATTAGCTCGGCGCTAGCGCGACAAACAAGCTAAACTGAGGTCCTCCATCTATATTTTCAGTCATTTTCTGTCAACGCTCTCTGGTTTCATTTAAAAGAGTCGATCATCAGATATTGTCCAAGATTAACCTTCAGGGTGGATATAGCTCGCTAGCAGCCTTGCACCGAGGACCTATCCATGTCATCATTTACCCAAAATGCTTTGCGTGTAAATAAAATGGCCCCGTCCGTGTTAAAATATATTTTTAAACATTATAACAACGAAACAGCTACAATGTTTATACAGTCTTTATTTTACAGTTAAAATAAATGTTTATCAGATAAAGTCCAATGTTACAACTAATCGTGAATCCCTTAGTTCACAGTAAGACTGCATTCTTAAATATTGACATTTATAAAATGCTTTAGAAGAAAAAAACAATACAGTTTATACTAATAATATGTTGTGCATTAAGTGCAGATTTACACTACAGCGTCCTACCTTTGACCCCAGCAGCAGGCAAACTGTGCCCCGCGCCTCGGTGTGCTGAGTAGTGAGGAGGCCCGATTCCTCCGTCGGGTGAGCGGGATGATTTCGGCGGAGTGTGCCGACCTCCTCCCCCCAAACTGCCGTTGGTCGCCCCCGGCGACTGGCAGCCTGGCGTCTTCATCACCCGCTGCACGTGCTCGTCCAAGATGGACTCGGGGTCGACTTCGTGGGAGTCCTCGATGGCAACCAGGCCGCCGTAAGTGGCGGCTGTCCCTGTGTTAGCAGTGGTCTCTGAGTAACGGGCACCATATAGAGGTGGAAACGATGAGGGGAGGGTGAGTGGTATGCTATGAGAAGACATGGAGGTTGTCATGGAGACGTCAGCATCCTCCCCTTCTTCTTCCTGTTGGAAACACGAGGCCAGTGTTTAATTACTGAACACATTCAGTAGTTTTAACAGTTAGATTTTAACCAGACGTTAGACACATAAGTAAACCCTGTGCACACACTCAAAAAGAAAGAAAACACCAGCAATAATAAAAAAAAACTCTGATTATTATTAAGTCAACACCCGTCACTCAGCACACCTTTCACAGTTAATTCAAATTTTTTTAAAGGAACGGACATCAGACAGACTCAATCCAAAAGGTGAAACCATCACTAGCACATTATGGAAAGTTTCCAGGGCGTTGTGAAACCCACCAGTCGTACTCTCTTCAGCCTCTCTTCRAGTCTTTCCTGAGCCTCTCTTTCTCGGAGAACATTCTCCAGCCTGCTGATGAGCTCTGCTGCAAACCTCTCCGGCTCTACGTGGATGTCCTTTGGCATGCGATACGTACGCTTCAGGAAAAAAAAAAAAAAAAAAAAAACACCATTAAACTTTTTTTTTTGGTAATTGCCACATGTTTCAAAAATCCAACAGCCAAACTTGTGAACTGATTGACATGCAAGTAACACACATTGATATATATTACTGGATTGGGCGTCACGTGACCTGGGCGTGCTTCGCAAGGGGGATTTTTATGCATTGAGCTAATGCTAACGCTAACCATTGAAATCAATGAGCAGAACGTAGTGCAGTGCAAACAAATGCTTTATAAATGTACAAATGKTACAAATACTTTGCTATAAACTGCAGAAATTGTTACAACATGTTTACAAGACCTAAAAGGGTTATATTTCACAGGTAAATATTACGCATATTTAACCAAAATTAATTATTTTAATTGTAAAACCTGTATGCATGTAACATTAAACAGCTTCAAAGTTTATGTTTAACCTTATTTGAAATTGATTTTATCTGTTGTCAAATATATTATTTACTGACATTAAACATGTAAATATGGACTTTATTGGATTGTTGACTAGTTAGACTGCGTAATAATTCAGAAATTATCATGTAGACTCACTAATGACAGACACTAATGCAATGATCGAGCATCATAAACAAAATAGCACATTGTCAGACAGGCTGGTTTATTTAGATATTTTCTGCATCCAGTAATTGTGTTTTTCAACATTTACAGAGAAAAGGAGGAAAAAACATGTGCCAGCTGTGGGTCGGCTTCAGATACAGTCTGCATCATTGTGAAACTGAAGAATAATTCTTTGTGATAAAAATAAATTCATTAAACAATTCTTTGTGACATGAAATAATTTGTATTTTTTTAGTTTGTTTTTACTGATGTTAAAATTATTGTAGTTTACAGCAAAAACTTTTATAGTTATATATTAGGGGTGCAACAATACATGTACCAGTATCGAACCATATCGAACAGTGCTTTAGGTTCAATACACACTCTTATCGAACAATACAGATTTTAAAAATTTACTTTATCAACTTGTCTTCTGAAGATGCTCTGTGTTAAAGGATCAGTGGATCTGTGTTCGACTACTCCACCTAGGCTGCATTTTTGAGCACAGATCCACTGAGAAACTTACTGTTTCAGCAACGTTTAACTTAAAAACTGTACTTTTGAGGTTAAACAAATGTTCATAATTAATTTAAATAAATTACAAGTTAAAATGGGCATGGAAATTTCTCTTTTTTTTGGTATCGAAAAAATATCGAACCGTGGGACTAAAGTATCGAGCCGAACCGAATCGTGAATTTTCTGTATCGTTGCACCCATATATTTTATATATATATATAGACTTGAATATCCATGTAGCTAGCAACGCGCTAGCCACACCCAATCCAGTAACTGTTGGTAACACATTCCAGACAGAAGACAAAAACTTGCAAACAGGATGAGGCGTGCGCTGAATGATCGACGTCTCTACTCACAGGTATATGAGGTAGGGGCACACGGCCGTTGGCTTTGGCACTTTCGTGCATCTCTTTACGATGCTGCTTCCGATATCTGTAAGGAGGAATACCATCTCTGCACACAAAAAATATAGATAATTAGCCTGTTTATAACATCACTTGCAGGTGCGACATTTAGCACACAGAAATGGCTGAATTAATAACTTTTGCTGCACTTACACACTGCTGTCGGTCAGTGACAGTGTGTCTGCGTCACTTGACATGCTCTGCTGCTCGCTGTCGTTGGCGCTGGTGGCTGGAGCGCGAGCATAGCCCATGTTCGCGTAGTAGGGGTTTACCGGCTCTCGCCACGGTCTGAGGAAGAATCCAGATACTGTCAATTTTATCTTATTTATGAGTGTATATTGCGAGAAATTTAACCTAAAGTTGGGGGCTTGTATTAAACATGGGAGTAAATTTTAACTCTTTTTTTCTTCTAATGTACTACTGCAAGAAGTTTCTATTTTTTTCCTCATTCATTTATACTGTATATATTTATAAAAAGTGAAGTATTCTGTCGCAGACGATAAATCATCATTTCGCCCTTTCTCCCGCTGTACGTCGCACATAGCGAAGTTTATAAACAAAAACAGTAGTTGTTTTTTTTTTTCACACTTGAGTAAAAAGAAGGGAAAAATTAAATTTTTTTTTGTTAATTGCAGAGCGTGCTCCATAGTCCATCTTGCTATAATTTAACAACCAGCCTCTGTTCTGGGCGTGAATCGTTTTCAGCGACGTGGAAGGTCAAGCTGTCCCTATGTCTCCCCACCAGAGGGCACATAGCCGAGGCTGAAACCTCCTTACATCTGTGTGAAATTAGAGGTAGCATTATACATCAGGATTAGATTTTATATGCTTTTTATGCTCAAAAAATGGGGGAGGGTCAACTTCTACTCAAAGAGCAATATACATAAACATGAAAAGCTGCAGGCACATGATGTTCTTCGTAAAATAAATAAATAAATATATAAAAACCTCATGCTTATTTAATCTTAGTGATGTCTTATTGGCTGGTATTAGTCATTTTTATTGCCCGTGTCAGTAAATACACAAGATAGATTATAATAGCTATGGCTTCCTCAGAAGTCACAACTTTATCAGACCTTTGATACCTGAACCACTTCCACACGTATGAATTATGTTATCTTTTCTTTCCTATTTTGTCTGCGTCCTCTCCAACAGTGAATGCTTGTTCACTCACAGCTGATATTCACTGTGTTGTAGGTAGCGTTGTTAGCACGGTGTAAACAAAGCGGTGGCGCAGAGCACTGAGCCTGGGGTGTAAGTCATCACGCACTGATGTAACATTGAATTCCTTTAAAAGTCATAAACATTATTGAAAACGTTTCGACGGCGATATATATTCATTTTGAATTACTGTCCGTCATTATTTATAATAATTACTTTTGATTCAGTTAGAAGGCTAAAAACTGCAAGCTAAATGTTGTAAAGTTTTGTCCACTGGCGTCCACGCGTCAGAACTTTTAGCCTGCTCTCACACTGGGGGCAGAAGCGTTGCTTTAGATCACAAGATTTAAAAAAGCCACAATGACTCAGTTTATGAACGAACGGCAACACACACCTGTACTCCCTGCTGTCCTGTCTCCTCCTGCTGGTCGAGGCTCTCTGTGGTGCCGTCTGCATCAGCAGGCTGTGGGTCAGCCTACCAGCTGGTGTATCTCCACACTCCTCGTCCTTCTCTTCTTCTTCCTCCCTCATCCCTCCTCCACTTCCACACCTACAGATCAGATCAATATCCATCACTGAGAGCCGTTAAATTATGTCTAAACAAATAAACATTTGGTTCATGCACAATTTATGAGCAAATGACAAAAACGGATTCAAAACATTAATGCAGTAATGCATTTAGAATTAAGACAGCTGATAATCTGCAGTTTTATCATTTGTGGCTAAAATACTCTGTGCCAACTATGACAGGCCCTGTTCACACGAGACCGGTCTCTGGAAATGCTTATGTTTACTGGGGTGAATACACAAAAAATAAAATAAAATAAAAATAAAATCACCTGTTTAAATGGAACCACTGCAGTGCAGCAATGTACCAGGCAGGGTTGCCAAATAAACTGTTTTACATAATAAACTGTTTTACTGTTCCTTTAAAATAATCATATTTTGAGTCAATACAGCAGATATGCTGTATATATGACTTACTATTACTGTGAGTGTTGTAAGATAAGGTGAGTGTTGTGTTTGGCAAAACAAATATTTTATTTTTTAATCTGGCAACCCTGATGCCGGTATCATTCAGGCACTGATCACACACTGGTCATGCATCAGCTGCATGATTACAGTTATGTCCGAACCTGGTGAATAAACTAATGTTCCTTTGGATCTGGGATGCTTTTTGTGTTTTTTTCCCTACAAGTTGAAAAGGCTGAGTAACAAAAAAAAAAAAAAAAAAAAAACCACTCTGCTGTCTGTAATTTATTGTAATTGTTGTTAGTTTAGAAGAAACTTTTGTTGTGTGCTGGCACTTTCACAACTGCGGGGTGCTTCTCACCTCAGCAGAGGGTGTTACCAATAGGGCTGCCACAAACGATTAATTTTTATAATCGATTAATCACCGATTTTTTTTCGATTAGTCGACTAATCAGATCATACGTTAGTTGAATATAAAACATAGAGCTTATTGCTCCAGAATGCAGCTGCTATTATATAACCATGGTTAGATTTTAGCTATATGCTAACKAAAAATAATTGCTGTGGAAGGCAAGTTCTGCCTTGCAGATATTGCACAAGTTTCTCTTTCATTTTCTTAAAATCTTAAAATGATCCCACACTTTTGAGCTCTGTTGTCAGGTAGCCATGATACCAGAGCCTGTTTATATAATGTCTTGTGACGTCCACGGCCTAAACTGGTTACCACTACTGTGCATGTGTGTCAAGGACAGAAAGGYAGATGTGGCAGTGGAAGGTGTCAAAGCAGTTTGGAGAGAAAAACAAAATAAAGAACAAAAAAAAAAAAGAAAACGATTAATCGATTATTAAATTAGTCATCGATTATTTCAATAATTGATTAGTTGTCGACTAATCGACTAATAGTAGCAGCCCTAGTTACCAAAAACTTCCACTCGAGTAAGTTTTTTCGAATCATGCCGTTTCCATTCACCTTTTCTGATGCGATACTTCAAAATGCGAATTAAAAAAAACGTTGATGGAGACCCGGCTACTGAGACCTGGTTTCAAAACGTGACGCTCACCAGTGATGTGTAAACGAGCGGCTGGATCGCAACCAAAATGTTGCGGTTTCACTGAAAACCAGTTCCGTGTAAACGRGGCCTCAATCTCACCTCCACTCCTCATCCTCCTCAAGAGTAGGCAAGTACCCCGCCAGAGACTTGACTGGCCCTGATGAAGGGCTTTGATCACTGGGATTAGGCTTGGGGCTCTCTCCTCCTGTCCGAGTGTACTCCAAATACAGATCAGATTTGAGAAACAAAGGGTAGGTGTTCTCCTCCATCATGGCCTGGATCTCCGTCTGAGCCTTTATCACAGAGAATGGACACATACAAAAGCTTAGACCTTGTCAGGATGTTAACTAATATTAAATTTTTAAAGCAGTCTAACCATCACTAAAGAAAACTTGAACACTTTAAAAGAAAAACTTAGGCTTATTTCAACAACTACAAAAATATTTATGAAAGGCACACAAAAAAAAAAAAAACATACCAAAATTACTAACTGGAGGTGTAAATTTAAAGCTTTGGGGTTAGGGGGTAAATTATTCTTACCTGACATATTAAAAGTGAAGTTTGACTTCTAATACTTTAAGTTAGGAGCATAAGTGCGACCAGTGGAAAGAAGATACCCTAAAATTATATTTATTAATAAATAGAGATGTTAATTTTCCCCCATATTATTTTAAAAAGTTTTGTTTCTTTGATCAAATCAAATCTAAACTTTTTAGGGTGCAATTTTTTTAAACCAGAGGTTGTCAAACTGGGGATCCAGGACCCCCAGGGGTCCGTGAGAGGTGTCTTGGGGGTCCTCAAAAAATTTAACTAAATTGTTAATTTGGTTTTTATTTTTAAAAATGCATGGAGAAGAATGAACTAATAAAACAAACATAATAAACTTCATAAAAATATATATTCCCATGGCATTTAGAGGTTGAAATGACAAATTATCTTTTAAAACAGCGCAGGGTTTAAGAGGGGGTCCTTGGAATTTTTTCACCCTTGTAAGGGGTCCCCAGACCCAAATGGCTTGAGAACCCGTTTTAACTCATCATCTGCTTTTACATTAATGCTTTATACAGCATAATTTAGTCAAACCCTTAAGAACAATAATGAACACATTTGTCTTTTCAGTTTATCCAATCAGAATATAACTAAAGGCACCGTTTCTTACATCTTCAAGTCATTCACTATAGTTCATATCAGTATGTCAAAAAAACTGTTATTGTGGAAAACATAGCAGCGTTGGACAGAAGCTGCACAAAAAATAAAGATTTTCTTTGTCAAAACTTGGTGTACATAGTACTATATGCTGATATCCTCTCTGTTTTAATTTCATTAGAATAACATATATAGTGGTCAGTCGTTTCCTGTTAGTTTCACTCTTTAAGAAAAATGTCCAGTACTAAAAAGAAATGAAAAACAGCTAGACTTCTCCTAAAAGCCGATAATATTCAAACTATCTAATGTTTTAAGTGACTACAGCTGATCAAACCAGTGTGAGCTGAAAAATATAAATGATTGTTTACTGTAAAAAAAAAAAAAGCACAAAATAACAGGTCTAAATGGCAAGTGTGACACCAACACTTTTTGGTCACATCAATGGAGAATAACACATCTCATATGGACCAAAAGTTCAAGCTACACCACTTAGGTGTTCTCCTTCATTGTTTTGGTTTCTTTCCTTCTACAGGGGTTTCCACCGTGAGCAAACTTGCAAAAAAGATTTTGCGATTTTTTTTTTTACACTTTATAATCTTCCTGATGCAACCTAGGCTCGAACCTGCAGCCTACGGATCACAGGAACAAGCCAATCTGCATCAAACCAATCAAAGCCCACAGCCTCATTTTACAATCATGCAAACAAAACATCCAGCTTCAGATCAGTACCTTGGCTACATTGACACCTGAGTGACTTTCAATGTTAGTCATTCAACAGGACTTGGCCCTAGCAATTGTAATATATAGCTCCATCCTTCTATAACATTTGTAATCTAATCTAGTCCACTGTGCATTACCTGTTCAAACATGGCAGGGTCTGGATGCTGCTTTCCCACACAGTCTCTGATGAAGCTCTTAGTAGCTGCTTTGATCTGCCTGGAGACGATCCCACTTCCATCTATGATGTATTTCCTGTAGATGGCCTTAGCCAGTTTGGGCCTTTTCTCCTGGCTGGTCTTCCTGAATCCCGAGCACGCAAACCAAAAGTCAACTAGGTCTTCGCACCCTTCCTGGCACAGGAAGGATCTGAACAGCTGGGTACCTTCCTGGTCATCTAGGAGAGAGTGTAGCGATTCAGCCCACTTCAGATACGGTGGAGTCGGAGAGGCTGAGCCCTCGGGTTCATAGCCCAAGTCCAGGTCAGGGCGACGTGGAGTTGCAGACGATGAAGAGGGCGAGTAGCTTGATGGATCCCCCATTTTAGATGACAAGGGGTGGCCTTGGGGTTGGTTTAGGGCGTTTGGACGGTTGCTGACTGACTGGACCGGGGGGTCCAGGTCAGTCCCTTCCTCACCAGGAACTGGAGGTCGTGGTGCATCTTCGGTAAAGTGGGCGGGACCGTTCAGAGAGGCCACAACCCCTCCACCACCCCTGTACCCGATCCCGTGCAATTCTCTGACAACACTCATGATTGCTCAAGGCAGAGGTCAGACCTTCTCCTGTAGCTGTGATTCGACTGGAAAACAAGTTAACCTAAGAGGAAAACAAGAAAACAGCCAGTCAGTACAACAGAGTTAAACATTAGTTCCAACACCTTCTACAGCACAGCAGACCGCAGAGATAAATGGACACTCAATAAAACTATACAGTAACTAAATCATTCTTCACTGTTAATATRTATTTGTTTTGAGAAAGCCAGGTTAGTTTATAGATTTTTTAAAGTGGTCTTGATTAATAGCTTGTCGGGTTTTCTAGGAGTAATTTTTATATTTCCACCTTTTTAAAACTCATTTTTATTATAGCACCCAGCCATTTTCAATGAAATATTTGTTCCTATGAGCTCCTAAACTCAACAAAGAAACAAGCGTTTTGTCATCAAGTGACCAAGAATTTGGCCAAAAAACTATTTTAAATCAGATGTTAGTCACTTTGTTACAGGCAGCCAGTAACAAAGACAAAAGCTGTTTTCCTTCATTTTTATGTATTTATTAAACTACAAATAACATAAAATGAAAGGCAACAGAAACAAGACAAAAAATCAGTCAATAAAAATCAAACATTTGTTAAGTGTTTTAAAGTACAAAAGATAAAAGACATGCATATAACATTTCAATACCAACAAGGTGATAAATAGCATTTAGCTGAAAGCTTGACATAATAGATCAGTGACAAAATATTAGCAGAGACTTGTCACTTAAAACTGTTGGTTCAAGTGTACAAACTGTTATTAGTGAGGCAAATAAACAAGAATATGATGAGAACGAAAGACGTTTTCTGTTGTCGCTTTACAACTTTTATTTTAAGATTTTATCATATATCTAATTATTCAAAAGTTATTTGATCAGTGGAAATCCTCATAAGACTCCACACATGCTGTTAGATGACCCACAGTGGGGTCCTGACCCACACTTTGGGGACCACATCAGTTGATTATCAGCTGCAGGGGATGTTTCTGGGGTCCAGTGTAAGGTCTTTGATTTGTGTTTTTTGTTTGTTTGTTTGTTTTTTGTCTCCTAATCACACAATGTATATAATATATATGCTGCCATGGTCTGATACAAAGCAACACTAAAAATAAACAAAGAAGCTTTGAAAGACCTTCAGAAAACCTGGAAAACAACTGATTATACCAACAAAACATTACAAGAACCTCTCTGGATGTTTAGACAGGTTTTAATTTTCTGCTGTAAATAACACAAAACCAGTGACCTAATTTGAACAAACCAATAAAAGCAAACGTGTGTCTTAAAATGAGAACACATTCTTACTAGCTCAGTGCTAATTGACTTCATAAGCCTACGTTTTAAAGCAAATTGTTTTACATAACTTTCAGGCTCTGGCCGTGACTAAAAACAATCTGAACTATTAGCACATTTCCGAGCCTTGTTCATTATTTAAGTTGTTGTCGAGCATTACTGAGCTCACTTAGCTGAGCTAACACCCTCCAGCTCTCGCACTTTGTGCAGTTTCGCACAATTCTCCCCCAAACAATCAACTAGTGTTAACAAGCTAAGCCAGCTAGCTAGCTTCGTAGCAAATGCCACCAGCGATGCCAAAAGCTTTGAAGTGAGAATCTCATTCATCTTGGCCTGCAGAGACGGTGGGGGGATGGGTGCAGCAACAAACTCCACAGCCACACAAGAGAGGGCCTCGCATGCGAAGAGTACTTCAACACAAGCGCAAACTGTGCCAGGCTAACTCCCACAGAAGCAACACACAACTTTTGTCGCAGTTTAAAACTCCTACAGATCGGCTGGGTTAAGATCAAACGGGACATGAAAGCGGAGGGGCACGTTTTCCACTCCGCTGGCTGCAGCAGCAGCAGCTAGCTCGGTTTGTTAGCTCACTAAGCTAGGTGCGTTCACGTCCCGTGTTTTTATTATTTCCTTTCCCCACCACCACCACTTGTTTCTTCTCGCTACGAACTGGTTGGTTTGTTTTACCGTTTCTGAGAGCCCGTTCCCCGTAATCCGCCGCATCGGGAATACTGGCGCGAACAATGTGGTCCAAAAGGCAGCATGTGGATAAGCTTTGAGTGACTAAACGCGAACAAAAACCATCCCGTCGCCTTGCCCTTAACTCCCCATGGTGCTGGTGAGTTTAAGAGAAGCGAGCAGAGCGGAGAGCTGCAGGAACAGGAAGCACACCGTGGTATCAAAAACTTTGCCTTGGAAAAAATAATCATAAATAACAATATATATATATTAAAAAAAACTTTTAAAGTTTCCTAAAACAAACAACCAGACATTTGGTTTAGTTGACACAACTTAAATATTTATTCAACTTTAAATAGACATTTTATTAGACTATAAAACATATGATCCTAATGTTTACTCCTAATATTAAGACGGCAGCATTTTAAGTTAAAATATAAATTTAAAACATAAGTTTGTTTACTATAAATATATACAATTTTTGTAATATGTAGGCTATGTGCTGGTTGTAATAGGCATAGGTTAAAGAGTTTTGTCTGCAAATTTGTCAAAAATAAAAACAAGCTATATCTGGCAGATAGACGCTTAGTAAACAAATAGTTAAAGAATAAGATAAAGTTTTTGCCAATGCACTGATGTGCAAATTTTTTGTTACAATGACATGAAGACCAGTYAGAAAATAGCCTGTTTTTCTTATATTCTCAGTGATGATATCCCAAAATAAAATAATAATGACAATAAAATCTATATATAAAAAAACTGTAAACAGGCACTCTACTTTTGCTTAAAATAGCTGAAACTTATCACAGCCAGCATATACTATTACAAAAATTAACAAAATTACATTTTAAATCCAGTTTAGTCCTGTTTAGTTACCTATAGAATCAAAATTTCTCAAAATAGGTTAAAAATGTGACGTTCATCGATGATCATGAAGCCATCTACTTTTGATTAATTTGTATTTATTTTCAGATTTGTTGAGAAAATTATGGAGACACATTAAAAAAAACAATCACAACTGAAATTTACTTAAAAACTATGTATTTCACCCATTTTTCTGGGAAAACACAACTAATAATTAAAGTTCAATGGTTAGTCAACTGACTCAAGTTTCTGTACAGTATTTGGCAGATTCAGCCAAGTGTTATGTTTACATTGACTACTTGCATGTCTTAATTGCATATCAATATAAATGAAATAGTACAAGATTAACCTCTAAAAATTCACCATTTGATATAGTTCAGGGTAGTGTGTTTTATTTTATAGTTTAGTAGCCTATTTTTAATGTAATCTATCAAATCTGAATGGTAATAAACAAATACAATCTTAATATAACGACCCAATGTACTAAAGTCAGCTCTGACTTTTTTAAAGGTGCTTTATAAATAAAACTGGTTTAATAAAATGGGAAGTTTATTTTGTTTCCTTTACCAAAGGATGCAGACAGGAATTACAATGATCATATCCAAGGGAATTTGATTTTTTTAACGTTTTTTTCTTAAATATAATAGTTTTGTCATCACTAAGCATGTCTGCTAGGAAAATAAATTATTTTAAAACAGGTTTTATGTATTTATCAGTTCCAATGAGGTTCTATAGAACAGTGATCTAAACATTTAAGTCTACAATCAGTTCTAATCGTTGCATTTTTTTTTTTACCCAATGGAGTGAAAACTGGTCCAACACCGCCCCCTTTGGTGAGTCTGAGTCATTACACAAATTGAAAAAAAGAGGGAAAAAATAGATAAAGTCGTTTAATTCGAAGTTTATTACACGATGAGTTTTTCTAGGTGCACCTGGACTCAAGCTGCTTTAGACTTAAAAAAAAAACACGATTTAGGCTTATATAAATTAAGAGGAAAATGGAGTCACCATGCAGGTAACACCAAAGCTAGACAAACCTGGAGCAGATATTAACAAAACGACTCACCTCTCAGACTTTTTGCTCCTTTGCTGATGTTTTCAAGTGTTTTAGCGGCTGATATCCACAGACGGAGAGGCTGACTGACCGACAGGACCGAGGGAGACAGCCGCTGCATCCTCCCTGTCACCTCCGCCCGGCTGTCAGTCATTCTGGAGCTTCCTCTGCCTTGTGTGTGTGTGTGTGTGGGGGGGGGGGGGGGGGTAGGAGAAAAAAAGGAAGATGATTTAGCAACACACATGTCAGACACTCCTTTCATATTAAAACACACCATTTTAACTTGTGAAACCCTATATCTCTGTGATGATGTGTGACCTTATCAGTTCAGCTTAAAAGTGATTCATTTGTGTCTTATCATCATTTTAAGAGACATTAACTTTGAGCATTAAAGGTCTGGCATTCCTTGAAGGAAAGCACAATGCCGACTTTCATGCCAGAGTTATAAACTAAGATTATTTTATGGTGAGRAATAATCAAATAGAGCCGTTTTGCTCGTGAAATATTTTTTTTCTATGACAATAACATTGTGGTGGAATTTACTGTAATAATTATTTATTGTCTGAATGTGGAATTTGTATAAATGTGTTTGAGAATATGTGAATTYATCACCTCAGCTCATTACTGACCATGCTATTCTCCTTGAAAAGCTACACAAATATGGTTTTAGAGGACCAGCACTATCTAGCTATTTGAAAGATAGGAAACAGTTTGTACAAATAAATGATYTGAACCTGTGGGGTTCCCCAGGGTTCTGTACTTGGACCAAAGGTATTTATTTATAGAGTCAGTGAGGTTATGTTTCTGAGTGTCATCATTGATAAAAAGATAACATGGAAATCTCACATAAATAATTTAAGAACAAAAAATAACTAAATCTAGTATTGAATAAAGTAATTGTTCTACATTTAATCTATTGTATTGAAGTCTGGGGGAAAGCATGCAAAATTTTACTAATCCTATTTTTGTTTTACAGAAAAGAGCTGTAAGAACTATCACAAGAAAACATTACAGTCACCCATCAAATACGTTATTTTGTCATTTGAAGTTATTGAAGTTCTATGATTTGATTGATTATATTTTATTGGTTATGTATCGGGCTCATAAAAACACATTACCTCTAAACATCCAATTAAATTTAGTTAAAAGAGGTAAAAGGGGGATAGAGATGTTTGTCAAACCTAAATTTTGAACCAGTCTGAACGAACGGTGTACTTCAATCCAAGGAATAAAATTATGGAACAAGAGTGATGTTAAAAATGTCAGATCAAGGTGTTTAAGAGAATGATCAAATTCGGTTTTGTTAAAAAAGGAGTTAACATTTTCTTTGTTTTGTTTTTGTTAAATGAAAATTATTAACGCTTGAATATTTTTTTTGGAAAAAAGGGGCAGATATAAGTTTTTTTCTTCTTTCTGTTGCCTTTCATTTTATTTGTGATTTGTAGTTTTAGACATAATTTTTTTAAAAGAAACATAGAAAAGGAACTTTATAAACTAAATTAACTTTACTTCATCAACGTCCTGATATTTATCACCATTAATATTATAGTTATCAGGCTATATGACCAAAACAAGGCATGTTTGGTAATTTTGTCCTTTTTTATTACCCCTGCAGCACAAATGGCATACCGTACCATTCCTCCTGTCAGGCCAGCAGTCTCATGAGAAGGAAGTCAGGGTCAGGTGGCTCAGGTGAGGTCCAAACACCCATGCTCTTCTCCATCCAATCCCACTGGATTAAGTTAGTCTCCATGACAACTTGAGTCTAGAAAAAATTTAAAAGATGTTTTTTTTCTGATGTATAAATCAAAGCCTATAGGGCCACCTGACAATCAGTTTCAGCTGTAAACAGAAAAACATTAAGAAGCTGAACAACATTTTTATTTCAACATTTAATCAGTGTGAAATTGTTCAGTTTGAGATCTAGAGAAAGTTTTCATAGAGCTTATGAAAACCAGGTTTTAAAGAAAAAGTGATTGGCAACAAAGTCCGAAATGTTTTAGAATGAAAATGAATTCACCTTCCTGTGGCCTGAATTCTATACAGACAGCACACTAATAAACACAAATACAGCCTGCACCTGGACGCACAGCTTCCTGCATCATCAGGCTGGTGCTGTTGTGCCCCCAGAGACAATGAGGAGGGGAGGCAGGGAGACAAAGAGAGAATACTGACGAAGATGAACTTGACCTTTATGATGTCTTGGTGAGGAGGGGTTGGGSGCACGTTGCTACTTATGAATCTGTAATGAATCTGCTCCATGTTTGTGTGTGTGAGAGTATTGTACAAGTCTGAGCTCTGAGCTGAAGAAAGGTCATCACACATGGGGGCAACTATTACACCTGGTCCTCATGCTACATCCATCTATCTATCTATCTATCTATCTATCTATCTATCTATCTATCTATCTATCTATCTATCTATCTATCTATCTATCTATCTATCTATC